TGAAATGACACGTTTTTACGAACCCCCTCCCCCCACACACACATATTACATTTCGAGTAAAGAGCATCAAGCAGGCAAGGAAGAAATGTTTTTTATCATTTGGCGATTTAGCAGCTTCTTTCTGGGAAATGGAAAGTGAGGAGCGTGTGTGTGGATGTCTATTTTACGATATCTTTTGTTTTTTGGTCGCCTGGTGTCATGTACATGTCTTTAGAATGCGTTTTTGGGCGCTTTTTTGGGAATTTAATACAATGTACATACGTATGTACGTACGTTCTGCAAACGAGTAACTACTTACATAGGTAGTTACTACTTTATGATATGTACGTTACCTAGGTATGCGTGTATGTATGTGAATCTTTGGGAGACACATCGGGGGTGTATGTATGTACATATATACATGTACCGATTCGTTGGTTTATTAAATACGATGGTTGGTAGGGGGTTGGGCTGGGAAGGATAGTATATGTAGGGATGAGAGTTGCTTGGTGGAGAAAGGAGGAGTGGGTGTATTGAGTTTGAATAGATGGGGCGGTATTTAACTATATAAAGTATGTGTTGGGTTTGAAGAGTTGGGGAAAAGATTGATGCGAGTATTTGTCGATATCTAGATACAAAGGTAGGTACAGTAATATGTAGGAAAGTAGATAGGATAGTAGGCAGGGTACATATTTGTAACGGAGGAGAGAGATGGAGGGGTGCTCTGGGTTAGGTAGATGGGTTTTTAGACTGGTTTATGTGGTTTTCAAACTTAGTGATTGCTATATCTTTTTCGCTTTTATTATATTTGTGAGTAGAGAAGAGGGTAGGTACGGTTTAGGAGCCAAGATGTTGCATGACTAGGTAGGGCAACCGCGCTTGCATAACTAACAGTATTCACTGCTTGTTGTTTGCTTTTTCTCTTGTGCAAGCAGTAACTACCTACCCTGGTCATTGATTTGATCCACGAACCCTGAACTGAAATCATACTTGTACCCATCCATCCCTCCCGCTCCCGCTCGTTCCACTCGACTTGACTCTCTCAAGACCTCAACTCACTATCCACATACATTCTGTTCCTTCTGTTCTATTTTATACCGCACCCTTTATACTTGTTGTGCCTCGGGTGTACCCATCTGCTGGCTCAAACGTCACCCCGCGCCAAGCATCCCACAAGCAGCACAACACACACCAGACGAGGCGCATATAGCAACGTCACTCGTCCGCGCCAGCGCCCAACGCATATCGTGAACTAGGATTACTCAGGCGAGGAAGCAATCTCCTCCTGTTGTATTCGCCTACGTGGACGCTCTCGTGCCTTTCCCCCAACGCTGTATACCAGGATGAGCCGCTCCCCCACGACTAGCCCGCACCGGAGTCGTTCTCCAGCGACCCACAATTCCACGCCTACCTCGACGCCTGCTGTAGCACCAACTCCACGCCTCTTGTCCACAGCACAAGAAGAGCAAGAGGAACGGCGTCCCTCTATCCAATTCGCCACCCACAAGAATCCCTCTCTACCGCGAGGGAGCCCAAAAACCGATCGCCCTAGGAGGCGCATATCGTCACCTCCCCCGCCGCCGTAAGTCATGGTTCATTTTCCATATGCAGCATGCTGTAAGCCCGCGAAAAGCATATAGGCCACGTTCCTCCGCTCCGGCATGTCATTCGCGCGCGCTCAATTCCTCTCCCACCGACTCTTGCCATGTCCGAGTATGCCTCACACGACTGCGGGGCAGCTCCCAGCGCGAAGCACGAGGCCTGTGTCGCCTGCTGTGTCCCTCCCGTGGCTTCTGTGCGAATCAGACTAACTGGTCTTGTAGTGTGTTCCAAACCCGCGTTTCATTTGATACGTTCGATAAGCCGGCCGATTTCATAGAAGAAAACTCGTTCACCCTCGTCGCCAAGCACAAGGACTATGAGTACACGAAGCGATCGAGGACGTTTCTCTGCGGCTGCGACGATAACGATTACTCCGAGTATGCATTGCAATGGCTGATTGACGAATTGGTCGACGACGGCGACGAGGTGGTGTGTTTGAGGGTTGTGGAAAAGGACGATACCATTGCGGGAGAGCGCAGCGTGGAGAAGGGCCGGTATAGGCAAGAGGCGGAAGATCTTATGAAAACTATACAGAAGAAGAACCATGAAAACAAGGCGATCAATCTGGTTTTGGAGTTTGCGCTGGGGAAAGTGAATAAGGTCATTGACGAGATGGTGAGACTTGGTTGTCACGGGGAATAATTTCAAGGATTCTAACATGTGCCAGATAAATCTATACGAACCCGCCATTCTGGTGGTAGGGACTCGGGGTAGAAGCTTGGGTGGGTTTCAAGGCTTGCTCCCTGGATCCGTGTCCAAGTACTGCCTCCAACATTCGCCCGTACCTGTCATTGTTGTTCGGCCATCCTCAAAACGAGACAAGGCGAGAAACAAGCGGGCGTTGGATCCCAACAGACATTCATACAAAGACCTGCTAGAGAAGAGTGGACCCTTGCTGGACGCTGAGAGCATTCCCTTTGATGCCGATAGTTCTAGGCAGGCATCCGAAGACGAAGCGGCTGCCGTGGCCGCAGCAATCGGCTACAAACCCAAGAAAAAGAAGAAAGCGGTCAAAGGCCTGAGCCCGCTGGTGCAAACCTTCTCCGCCTCCTCGGATCTATCAAGCCGGGATATGACCGACGACCTCAGGAGCCCAGGCATGCTCATGAAGAGTCCGGAGCTGCAAAACCTGGACAGCCCAGAACTCTCCGAGGTGAGCAGCAGCAGCGACGAGGAGGGCGGCATCCCGACAAACGAAACACCTTCAGACACCGGCGACGGCAACGCTCCGCTCTCTCCGCAGCCCGGCGTAGCTACCAACGTCATGGACACGGCTCTCGGTGCCATCCTCAACCGGTCGCGCGGCAAGAGCAATTCACCGGCGCGACGGCCTAGCAAGTCTCCCGGGCGTCGGCCTAGCAGGTCGCCCGCGAGGAGACGGCACGACATCACGGAGGACATTATTGAAGGAAATTCTGCGGTGGGCGTGGTCGACAACAAATCTGCATCGACTGCGGAACTGGAGGAAGCGAAGAGTGCTGCATCTCCTCCTCCTGTAGCTGCAGCGTCTCCTCCCGTGGCGCCGTCGGCCGAGACGGAAGAAGCGAAAACGGGTGCAGCATCGACTTCTGAATTTGGTACGGAGGAGGAGGCTGCGCCATCGTCCCCATCTCCCAAGGTCGCTGAGCCTGCTGCCGTCGTCGTGGAAACGGAGAAGAAGGAAGCGGAGGACAAGGAGAAGGATAAGGATACGGATACGGATAAAGATACTAATACCACGGCCACAGCTCATCCTCCCTCTTCTTAAAGCAGATTAAGCAAATACATAAATAAATTTTCTTGCCTCTTCTCCTTTAGATGTTTGATGTTTCAGATGGCTGGAATCTGTGTGTTGTGTTATATATCCCATATATCCCCCCCTCCTCCGGCCGAATACCAACAACAAAAAAAAATCGTTTTGGTCAATTATCGAGACACCACATAGGGAGTTGTCCTGTTATTGAAATGTTGAATGATGTATTATTAACATCCATCCTTACTTTACGTCTTACGATTAATTTTTCTTTGTTGTTTGTTATCTGTTTCCTTGCCTTCCTCCCCCCCCCTCTCTTCTGTACTTATCGATATACATGTATTTATATATTTAAACGATATGCTTACCTATCATTCCAACAATAAAAAGAAAACAAAGTTTGACATATGGATGTATGTAATACGCGCACTAATTACGGTACAACTAACTACTTAGGTACATACACTGTGATTTTCTATTTTACCTTAGCTTAGCTTTAGGGTGGTTATGTGGTGTGGTGGGAAAAGGAAGGTTGTCGTTGGTGGGGGTATCTATATAGTGTAGTGTACTGTGCGTATGTATGTATATGCGTAACGGTTTAGTTAATTACTTTAATTAGTAGTTTAGTAAATTTTTCTCTTTGGTTGGTTTGCTTTTGGGGAATGGGATGTTGGGTATGGATCGTTACGTGTATTTATGGTGTTTGGTGTTGGGGTATATTTATTCGGGGGGAAGAGAGGAAAAGACGGGGGGGGAAAGGGGGGAAGAGGAGGAAGATAGAAGGTTACAGTTTTTTTTTTTTTTGTAGCCTTACCCTTTTTTTTTTTTTTTTAAGAAAGGGGGGTTGGTTTGTTGGAGTGGAGTAGAGTAGAGTGTAGTGTAGTGTAGATGGATGCATTTCTAAAAGGTCTGGAGGTTTGAGGTCTGAGCTTTTTTGCTAGTGATGATGTTGGAGCCTTGAGGGAGTGATGAAGTACAAAAGCCCTCCCCCATAAAAGCGGTTACAAAAGAAAAATTTCACCTTTATGTTCGCGAAATGTGTATGCATATTGCATGTAGAAAAAATACCGTAAGTTTAGAGATTTTGTAGTGATATTGGACTTGAGGGATGGGGGAGTTGGTTGGATTGATGAGGCGTGATGAAGTGAAACAATTGTTACGCATCAATTCATAATCTCCCCTCGATGTTGCGCTTTTCGAATTTCGCGTAAGAATGGTAGGGTGGGGGTTTTTGGGCATTTGCGCTGGGGTTGTGGATGGATGTCACGGTCGGAGGGATGGTGGAAGTTTAAGTTAGTTGTTTGCTACCTACATAAGCAGTGATGAAGTAAACATGTACATTTGTGCACATAAAAAAAATCCCCTCAAATGTCGCGCATCTCGAATTTCGCGTAAGAATGGTGGGTGGGGGTTTTTGGGTTTGGGCTGCGTGCGGCTGAGTGCCATCTATTCTGTTCGGAACTAGGGGGGGTGTGACTGGCCCATTATTCGGAAATCATCGAATGGAAAACTGACTCATGAACCAATCAATCAAAACAATCTCCCCACTATCCGCTTAGCACCTCGTTTACTTCCCTTGGGCAAAAATTCAGTGAGGCCTGAGGTTCCGTCCACCTTCCAACTCCCATTGCCCATTTTTTGACTATATATTATATTTTGCACAATCCTCTTTCATCAAATGAACCAAGGGCGCTTGGTCTAGGGGTATGATACTCGCTTCGCATAATTCGAATGCAGAATGTGAGTGGTCGTGGGTTCAATTCCCACAGCGTCCAGAAGTTTTTTTTCGTAGGGGGTTGAGGGGTGGGGATGGGATTTTTTTTTGTGGAGATCACGTGCGGAACAAGGTAAAAAGAGAGCCTATGAGCGTGTAATGAGGAGTTTTTTAATGGTTAATTTATTTAGTTGATGGTTAATTGTTATGGGGGATAGATAGGTATTGGGGGTTGAGGGGTTGGGTGGAGGTTTGGGTATGGCAGACAGCACGTATGTATTCTTTAAGCGGCTGTATCATTTTTAACCCAGCCCTACGAGCTTAGGAAAGATTATTTACTCTACATTTATACTTTCCCTTTTGAATGTGCGCGATTAAATAGTGTTTGTAATGTTGGAGTACTAGGTGTCGCGGGACTTTGAAAAAATCCGCAAAGCGACTTGTCGCCATCGTATACAACCATCATTACACGTCACGAATATAGATTCATCGCAAGTTCCGTAGATCGAAAGCGTACGGGTATATGTTATGTGTTGTGAAGTGCATTTTGTCTACTTCAGGTTTGGAGTACTTGACGAAAAATTTGGACTTTGCACGAAGGGAACACTAGATGCCGAGAATGGTCTATCCTATTGTATACACCCGGGGAACACGAACGGGAGGATACAGCAGTCGTAAAAGAGTAAACGCAACGCAAAAATCTCGTGGATTTGGAGTATAGTCGTGTATAAAGTAGGCGCGAAGCAGTTATTACTGCATTAGCACATTTGCTGATTACCCAACTCGTCACTCTGCCCTTCCTTCAAACATGCCTTCACCTAGGCAAATTACCCGTTACAGGTCGTGCAGACTGCTGAGCACCTTCCTCTTTACGTACCCCTCGAGCGCACCACTTACTATTACTTAATCAGTGTTTCAGCGCTTCACATCGAGACGATGTAGACTACGCTCTCTTCTATTACCTTGTGGCTCTTCCGCGATCTCCCTCCTCCAAATCACGCAATAAGTCCAGCAAAGCTCCTGAGATCTGGCCGCCGCCATGATACTTCCCAATCTCAGCCCCTTCCGTCAGTCCAACACGCTACAAGGACGCCTAATACCATATCGCCATTCATCAGTCAGCAAAGCGGGTGCTGTAACGAGTACTGCGAGCTTAGCTGCCAGCTTCGAGACGTTTTACTCGCATCGCCACTCTGCATATACTAGAAGCAGGACAAAGACGCAGCGACGCACTGCCTCCTGCAGGTAAGATTAACTCACTTCTCTCCCACTGTCAGGCACTCATACACCAGAAGAGTACCACCACCTCTATCAACCTCGGACCGTCCAACATCAAGACCAACCCCAGCCGACCATCCTTCTAGACCAGTGTCGAGAGTACCCAAATACAAAAGTCCGAAGAACTGCGCGCCCTCTCTTTCCGCCACATCCACGCTAGATTTACCAGCCCTTTGTGGGACTTTGAAGTGCCTGGACGATCATCTGTTGGCAATTCTTATCCTACCTCGGACTCTCACTTTTACACCGTTCAGTCTGTTCACGCCGTGTTCAAGCGCACCGGGACTCTCTATCCGTTGCATGCCATTTGGAACTTTACAGAAGAATTAAAGCATGCGGCAGTCCATCCTTCTGCACGTCAACTTTCTTCGGCCGCGCTATCTCTCTGGAGCCTCATGCTGCCCAGCGTGATCAAAAGCCATCTTTCTACTATTGCTCAGCACATCCCGTCCATTCACAAGTGAAAAACAGTCTTCTTTGTGCAAAAGTCCAAGACCTTGTTCGCATGCGTCCTCGACATCAATGTGGCTCAAAGCGAGAAGATAGTTCTATTCTGCATAAATCCGTTTGAGCAGCAGCTTGTCACTATCGCGCTCCGGACCCTCAGCATAAAGGCTTACACCATGCTTGTCTCGTACGGCCAAGAGACCAGGAACGCCCTTCTGCGCGGTTTCGACCGCCCGATCGACCCGTGGGACGCAAAGGCGAGTGCGACCTCGTACTTAACTACTCTTTTAACTTAGGTCTTAACTTGCAGAGATACTGCCATAATTTAATCGCCGTATCGCTCCCACCCAGCCTGTCGAGTTAGAGGCAAGCGGTGGGCCGAATCGTCCGCCTCGGGCAGTGACGGCCGTGTCTGATTATACAGTGGTTTTCCGACGGTACCTACAACATGAGGATGCTTAAGAACGCCGTGAACAACCACCTCGCCAGCTTCGCCGCCACGCTCTCAGACTCGGCTCTCACTGATAAGTTGGGCTTCCCCAGCGACAAGCTGGGCGGGAAGTTCTTTCGCATCAACGACCGACTTGTCCCCGTTGCAAAAGCGCCGCCCTCTTACAGGGGCAAAGACCCACTTACTTCCGAGAACGTTCTCCTGTACCTGTTCAACCGCGTGGACGTCAAGAATCTTGAGGTGGCTGCCGACAAGGCCAAGCGGAAGGTGATCAACGTCAATCCCACGGCCGAGCAAATATGGGCGGCAACTAACGTCGCGAACTTCCACATGTCTTCGTAACATTGTGTACGTTATTGTATTGCAATGCAAATCCCGCAAACATGACCCCCGGCTGGCGAAAGGATCTCGATTCCGAGACAGAAGAATACTGGTAGAAGGCTATATCAGACGCCACGATGCCGAAAGTCAAGGAAATTCTCTCTAAAGATGATGAAACCCCGCCCACAATTGCAGATATCCAAGGCCTTGATGACTTTTCACTCGACCAATCCATATTTTCATATTTCACATACCGTACCCTGTTGTTCCATACATACCTAAAATGTCTACATTTTCGCTCTTTGAGATCCGCCTGCGTGATCTCGTACACGTGATATACAATGCCGACAACCTCAACATGACCCCCGGCTGGCGCAAAGACCTCGATTCCGAGGCAGAAGAATATTGGTACAAGGCAGTGTCGGATGCCACGATGCCGAAGGTTAAAGAAATTCTCTCCAAAGAGGATGGAACCCCGCCCACAATTGCAGACATCCAGGGCCTCGATGTCATACCGCAGGACAAATTTACCCCGGGAGTTTATTTCGGTTTCTCGGTCCCGTCAGACACCAGCACATATAAAAACAGTATCTGCTATACTGGTTCCGTTACCGGCGTAGGATGGGGCCTTACCAAGAGAGTCGCGCAGCATCTGGATCCGGAGTATCGTCGAAAGGAACTTGTGTAAGTGAAATGACCTCCAACTGGCATGCTTTGTCAGATCTTTTGGAAGCATTTCACATAATACCAAGTTGAAAACCCTTTTTTTACTGACAATTCTCGCTCCGTTGTTTTCTATGTCCTGATGAATATGGAGTGGATCTCCACCTCAGCCTCAGACCTCACGCGCACTCGCGCAATCTGCGTCCTTGCGGAGCAGATTTTCATGATAATGTTCGCCTCGTACACGCACAATGCTGCGGAAAAGCAGCAAAAATTCTTCGCAAAATACTGCCCGTGGTCCTACGAAGAATTCGAGTACGCTGGATCCAACATGGCTTCGCCAATTCGAACAGAAATTGCGCGTAATTCAAATGACAACACCGCATTGACACCTAAAGAAATGAATAAACGCAAATCAGAGGTGAATAAAGAGCGTAAAAAGGATTAGTCCCCTGAAGTAGCACAGAGCATCATGTACATAGCATACAGAAAAGACATTATAGCTAATTGCAAGCTTTGGTACCTTAAGAAGTCGCTAATAGTTGTGAGATTAAAGCATTCGTAGACCTTAAGAGAGATAGAGAGGAAAATGGAAATCGTTCTTGCGACGTTAAAATTAAATAGTAGATAGGCATTTCAACTACGTGTTTTAAGACAGGTCTTGCGATGTTATATTTAATCTTTTACATACTACGCGAGTCGTTGATTAAAGTCTCAAATACCTAGGTATCTTTAGTATCTACTTATATTCATTAAAAGTAGGACACCTGGATGCATTATCCCCTGTATTTCTTCTCGCCAGAGCTGCTATATCTTATCCTTGTCTCTTTACTACCTACTACTGAAAGGATCATCGAATCTAATATCCACACCATACAAATTCGTTTCGATACATCGCATACTTGTACTATCTCCCATCTCTCTTCTTCCTTCCTCTTTTTTTCATATCATATCTATCCATTCCTTCCTTCCTTCCTTCCAACGTACTCCTCGCCTCGCTCTTATTCCAATCTAATCCGACCGTTCATCCGTATTCTCACGTCCCTTCCACGACTCGTGTAAACGTAGCATACCGGACCCCCGCTATCTTTCCTTCCCATCTCCCATCCATAAATCTTCGCGGTGTAACTTCTTCTCTAAATTTTCCCACCCTTATTCATTCATACGTCGTTATCCATGCCCTTGGTCTAATCCCAACTTCGGCTGGGTTTTTTCATACGCGGTTCTGCGCGTGAGCAGGGAAGGAAGAGGGGACGCGGATGAGGGAGGGAGGGAGGTTGTTGCTGGCTGTGTCTCTTTTTTTCTCTTCTGTGTTGGGTTTCATCGGGGTGGATTTAATCGACTTCCGCCTTCTGGCCATCGTGCTGTGTTCATCACAACCGTCATTAGTAAACCTTCTTTGTCTCCCTCATCCCACATTTTAAGCCAAAGGGAGGGGGAAAAATCGAAGAATACTCACACAAATAGCCTTCCGATCCGCGCAATTATACGCGTACTTGGGACAGCAATCAAGTACGTCCGTCTTTAAGATGGGCCATGTATACAATGACTTCTTGGGTTTCTTTTTCTTCTCTGCGATCGGTTTCTGCGCTTCCTCCTCTTTAATCTCTGGCGCTTCTGGTTTGAAGTCTTCGGCAGGGGGTGGAGGTGTTTCTTGCTCTCGTTGCTCCTGCTGCTGCAGTTCAGGCTCGGCTGGTTGCTCATTACTTTCTCCCTGTCGTTCTCCTTCTTCGGCCAACTCAGGCGTGGCAGGAACACCAGCATCGAACTCATTCTCCCACGTGCGGTCGAACTCGTACGTCTTTCCATCCTCTTCGCGCTCGGATTCGATCCCGTCTTCTGCGACGCCAACGGGAGGTGCTTCTTGTCGTTTCTCGGGCGGAATTACGGGTCCTCGAGCT